TGGCATCATGGCAGCTTGACTCCTTCATGACTTGGTCGACGACCAGCAGGGAATCTCCTCGAATGTCGAGGCATCGGATGCCCAACTCGATGGCAATGCGTTTGCCGTTGATGAGCGCCTCATATTCGGCCACATTATTGGGAGGAGGGGAAATGGAGATGGACCATGTACCTCATGCGTACCCCGAGGGGTGACACAAAGACCAGCCCCATGCCTGCACCCTTCTTTATCAGCAATTCGTCGAAGTACATCATCCATTATTCTTGATCGATGACCGCTGGTGGCATTTGGACCTCGGTCCATTCTACGACGAAATCCACCAACACCTAGGACTTGATGGCCGTCCGGGATGCATACGCAATGCCCTATCCCATCAGCTCAAGTGCCCATTTCATAGTTCTTCCCATGGCATCCTGGTTCTGGATGACCTCGCCGAGGGGGAAGGACGTCACGACCGTCATCGAATGTGACTCAAAGTAGTGGCATAGCTTTCTCTTGATGATGAGGACGGCGTACAAAAGCTTCTGAATTTGGGGGTAGCGGGTTTTCGAGTCGGGTAGGACCTCACTGATGAAGTACACAGGGCGCTGGACTTTGAGGGCATGCCCCTCTTCTTCCCGCTCCACCACCAAGGTGGCGCTAACCACTTGTGTGGTGGCCGCAATATAGAGCAGGAGGGGTTCTCCATCGGTAGGAGGAACCAGGATCGGGGCCTTTGTCAGAAGCAACTTGACCTTGTCAAGTGCCTCCTGAGCCTCGGATGTCCATTCTAAGTGGTCGGCTTTCTTCAGAAGTCGATAAAGCGGGAGACCTCATTCACCAAGTCGTGAGATGAAGCGACTAAGTGCGGCTAGGCACCTTGTAACTCGCTGTACCCCTTCATGTTCTGAATTGGGCCCATCCTTGTGATGGCTGAGATCTTCTCTAAGTTTGCTTCGATGCCATGCTCGGAGACAATGAAACCAAGCAGCATGCCTCTCGGGACCCATAAAACGCACTTCTCGGGATTGAGTTTAATGCCGTTTGCTCAGAGTTTTGCAAAGGTCTGCTCAAGATCGGCTATGAGGTGGTCAGCCTATTTGGACTTGACCACGATATCATCAATGTAGGCCTCAACGGTCCACCCGATGAGGTCCCCGAAACACTTGAGTATACAACGCTGGTATGTGGCCCCAGCGTTCTTCAGATCGAACGGCATTGTGACGTAGCAGAACGATCCGAAGGGGGTGATGAAAGATGTCGCGAGCTGGTTGGACTCTTTCATCATGATTTGATGGTATCCGGAGTACGCATCAAGGAAGTAGAGGGTTTCGCACCCCCAAGATAGAGTCAACTATTTGGCTATGCGCGGCAAAGGAAACGGATCCTTTGGGCACGCTTTGTTGAGACCCGTATAGTCAACACACATCCTCCATTTCTCACTCTTCTTTTGTACAAGAATGGGATTGGCTAACCACTCTAGGTGGTACACTTTCTTGATGAATCCAGCCACCAAAAGCTTTACGATTTCCTCGCCGATGGTCCTATGTTTCCCCTCGTTGAAGCGACGCAGGCGTTGTTTCATCGGCTTAGAGCCTAGGCAAATTTTCAAGGCGTGCTCAGCGACTTCCCTCGGGATGCCTAGCATATCCAAGGGTTTCCATGCAAAGATGTCTTTGTTGGCGCGGAGGAAGCCGACAAACACGCTTTCCTATTCGGATGAATTTAATCATTGCTTAAAGATATCAAGAGGTTCAAAAAGAAAAGAAAATTGCTAGAAGATGTACCAAAAGCACCGATTATGCAATACTCTCTCTGGTCCATTTTATCTGGCGCAAGTTAGAATGACACGGTCTCCTAGATTACACTTTGACCATTCATTTACTTTATATTATATTATTTATGTTTATAAACTTATAATCATTGGATAGTATAATTCTTTACAAATCTAATCATATAAAGTTTTTATTATAATAATTAATTGGTCAAAGTTTTTAAAGTTTAAATCTTGATATGCGTGTGCGCCAGATAAAATAGACCGGAGGGAGTAATTCTTATAGATGAGATCTTCTCCGTTCTTCATGTTACTCAAAGGATCGCTATTGAAATGCTCAGAATTCCAATACAAGGAAGCATTGTCCAAGGCACGAAGCTGCTGTCTGTGTTCAGGCGACTAGCTAGGCTCATGAAAAAAAGTAAAGGCCATCTCATCTCCCTCAATTGTTTATATGTCCAATTTGCCTCCCTCAATCAGAAAACTAGATTTTAGACTCATTTAACTTTTGAAACCATCCAATTTACCTTTCTGAATAGTTTTAAAGTGGTTTTGGTTGATATGATGCCACGTTAGTTGTCTTGCGTGGCGCCATGTCATTTAGGGAATCTAGAATTTGTTAAAAATAAGTTGTAGAAATAACTTTTAAAAATATCCAAGTATTGTTTTTTCAGTAAATATGCATTTAAAAATACTAATCTAATTTAATATTAAAAATTTATAGAAAAATTGTTTTAACTCAGAAAAATATAAAACTAGTTTCGTACTTTTACTAAAACCATGCTATATTTTCTGTGAGCTACACACCATAATGTAGAGCATGATTTTAGAAAACGCATGAAGTCTAGCATCCTTAGCATGTCTAAACTGTCTTTCTGCTCGATCATGTGCTCTGGGTAAGTACGCAAACCTACGATGATGACATCGTGTCCATCTAGATGTTGCTTGCTAAGTCGCAGACGTTGGATTGAGAATCTAATAAGTCGCATGTCGTCTGCCGCTGATGGTCCAATGAGTCTGCTCAAGTCATCGTCGTGATGTCCTCTGGAGAGGATAGTGCTGCTACAAAGTTAAACCACATGATACATGTTGTTAATATGCAATCGAACTTGAATAGATTTTTTTTGTTTTAGATTTTTCGTGCATGTCTCGACATAGAAGCAATGCATTGTTGTTGGGCTAGGGAAAAGCAGTTTACATAGCAGGTTGTCGAATCCTCACATCCTAGTCCTCAGCACCGACGACAACCATGTGACACAATATAGGAGTAGATGGATTGTTGACTGTGGGCTAGCTGGTTTTCTAGATACTGAAAGTCTAGCTCACCGTCGCCCCCTATCGTCTTCCCCACCGAGCCCACCCGTCCGGCATATCCACGAATCTTCTCCAAGCTCCTCGGACTACATCTACATGCATGTCCATTCCAGATTTCTAGTTCCAGATACCAGGTTCAGTGATGGGATGACTGAAATTGAAAGACACACGGAAGGCCACCGACGTTACCAAGTGCGTGATGACCTCGCAGTCGTTCCTAGCCCTGTCCGGTGGCGGACAGCCAGCCTCTGAGGTCTTGTTGGATGTAGATCCTGCCGCTGACCCGGACGATGACGGAGATGAACGAACTGGTCCTTGCTAATTGTCATAGAGGGGCTGGTAGCCAGAGGCCAGGTCGATGATGGCAAGGCTCTGGTAGGAGAGGTAGTGTATAGTGGCACCGAGTATGGTGATGGTGGTGGGTGTAGGCGCTGCGGTTGTGGATGACGGTGCCGTAGCTGTTGGCGCTGCAGTCGGAGTCGAGGACATCGATGAAGTGGACGAAGACAAGGGTGCGGGCAACCGTACCGCAGATGCGAGGGTCTTGAGAGTGCTACACATCCCTATGTTTGCTTCCTCCATCATGTGCAGCATGCGATCCATCTTCGCCTGGAGCTCGACGATGGCGGCGATGGACAGTGTAGATCCGGGTTGGACCATACCGAGACACCAAGTAGCAGATCCACACGATCTCGATGAGCACGGTGATCAGCCAACCACAACAACCACAGAATGTGACGAACTCAGAGAAATTTTCCCCAAATTCCACCAAATCAAGCAGCTATCGGTGGAGAATTTTAGGGCCTCCACACACGAACTTCCTCGATCGATGGCTCTGATACTAAATGTCAGGATCCTTAAGGTAAATACTAGCGTACACGCACGGCGGGGCGAGATCGACGTCGCCGTCTCTGAAGAAGAACGAAGAAGAGGGGAGAAATAGAAGGTTTGGAGGTAGTAGATTAGTTCATTTCATTATCGATAATGTCTCCACAGCAGCCAAGGGTATATATGGTTCCACACATAGGCAAAGCCCAACACAGTTAAAGATACGCATGCCCAAATCGATGACCCACTCCCTAATACTATTAGGAGCCCAGGGCCCATGTCATGACAGGTAGCAGCCGACCACTTGCCGCATGCCGCTCATCTCGTGGCGCAGAAATGTTAGCAACCTCAATCACTTCTCCAGTAACAAGTAGCAAGCAGGGGAGTAGGTGTTAGGGGAAAGACACTAGGAGGTTCTAGAAGATACTAGAAGCAAGAGATCTGGGTACATGAGAGAGGACTAGAAGAGAAAGAGGAACAGTAGACTAGAGATAGAGATGTGTGTCTGGTTCTCTGAATAATCTTCCCCCTCTTTGATGCGCCTAGTAGTGATGCTACTTTTGTACTGTACTTGGCCTCGTCGAGAGCAATTGCTGGCCGAGATGTATGTCTGGTTGTCTGAAGGAAATAATCTTCCCCCCTCCTCGATGCTCCTACTGCTGCTAGTTTATGTATTTTACCTGTTCTGCCGTACTACTTCAGCAGTACTTTTCAGCGAACGAACATTATTTTTCTTCCACAATATTTCAGCATAAGTATCAACATAAACCAAATTTCAGCCAAATGAAAAGGGTTGTATTTGGGCCGCGTCGGAGTGGCAATGCGGCGCCGATTGGGACCGGCGGAGGGTGGGCGGGTGAACCAGCCGGTTGCGTTGAAACAAGTCCTCCCTCAAACCAAACACATGTTAAAACTTCAATCAACCACATGTTAAAACTTCTATGGCATTAACACTCTGAGAGAAGTGAAGATCTTCAAGTTCTGATCAGAGACATAGACGAATTTTATTTGGATCATATTTGTATGGTGACACTCGCAATCGCATTTGACATAAAAATAGCTCAGAAGCATATAATGGCTCCTTGAGGGATCTTTCTTGTACATATCAGAACTTGCTAAAGAACTCGCAGATGTGATCAGAGACCTCGTTAGGCTTCTCCTGGTTGATGAAGTGGCTCACTCCCTCCATAACAACCACGTCCTCTAGATTTGGCACGCTTGCCTTGAAGCCACCCTTGTGAATGTAGTCTGGTACCCCTGGGGCGTTGTATGTAATGTCTAGGTCCCCAACAATGAATTTCGACGGAACTTTTATCTGGGCTCCAGTCCATGGTGCAGAAAGCTCCCAACTCCTGCATGAACACAACATGGATCTCGTGAGACCTTACAAATGCCTCTGTTAGCTCTGAATAAAGCCTTTGTACATAAAGATTGAATTTATATTGGCTGGCACCAACTATCTATCATTAACCCCTCTCATTTTCAAACATTACACTAGCTCTGTCTCAGAAAACTTGAGATTCTAGTTATCCTATCAAACTATCTTACATTTGACCAAGTCTAAGACAGTATTTATATTACCAAATAAGTATGACACGGAACATGTTTTCATATTTACCTACTAGGTGTTATAAATGTTGACAATCTTCTCTATAAGATTGATCAAACTTAAAATGATTTGCTTCACACGAAGCTAAAACGACCCCTCACCCACACACACCCAAACCCCGCAAAAAAAGTGTAAATTAAAATCAAATCAACTTGGAACATTTGAAAGAATAAACAACAGTAAAATCATAAAGGTATGCACTACAGAATATCAAATAAATAGCATTTGTCCAAAAAAACGTGAACTGAGTTTCAGTTATCCCATGGCAAATAAAAACGGGAAATTGTTGGACGGTAAATGGTTGGTTGCATCAATAAAGAAGTAAACTGCAAAATCAAAATTGTTAACTGACCATAAGACACATACCTGTTTATGCATCTGTAGTAGTTAAATCCTCCAGTAAAGCCTGTTTTTGCAAATTTTTCTGCATAGTAAGAAATATCTTCCTCTGATAGCCATGGAGGACAAGTTCCATCTGAATCCAGAGAGTCAAAGAAGCTCTTGTCCTTAGGTAGAATTAGAGCAGCTGGCTTGCGCATGCCGAATGTCTTCTTAAACACAGACTTGATGTCATACAGAGCGAATTCAGCTTCAGCAACACCAGGTTCCTGTATGCATTCTTATGTAATTCAAATGCGCAGTATTTTTCAAAAAAGAAAAAAAAACCATGTCTAAAGGGACATTGATATGCCCAAAATATATCATAATATAGAATTAAAATAGCTTGTTCCACACAACCACACTATGGTATGCGACAAAGTAGATGATTTCAAGACAGTGACATCCAAGAATTGTTATTGCCCTTGAAAATTTAAATCAGCTAAAATTAATAAGACAATATGAATAGTTAGTTAAGTTTTACATCTCTAAAAGACCTGGTGCTGCATGCTGATGTTCATCATAGAGGTCCAAAGAAGGCTTGATATTTCCAGTAAACAATGCTTTTATATGGACCCTTGCACAAAACTGTTTTTTCTCCTCGAACATGTAGAAGAGCTGTGTATCATTATATTAGAAGAAACCTTGCATATAACTGTTACTGTGTTGATATTAATTTGTTGTAAGGAAAAAGAAATCACGGGAGTAAGTATTCAAGTTTCTATAAAAAATGATCTGCTAACAACCTCTCAATTGAGTCTAGGGGCTGTACTTCATTTTTTAAATCAAAAGTTCCAATTAGCATTTATTTCGTCACCCTTAGACTGTCTCCAACGGCTCATGCAAAGGGCGACGCATACCCAAAATCGGTCATGCACAGTGTTTTTACGGAAGAAAACCGTCTCCAACCGAAGACGCAAACGCATGATGCATTTTGGGTACGAGTCCAACCAAGACGCTTATTTGCGTCGTCTTTCTCCAAGACGCAAAGTCTTCCGTGGCAGGAGCGGTGCGGGCAACTGCTGCTCGGCCTGGAGCCGATCAGCGCTGGGCGCTGCTGGTGTGCTCGGCCAGGAGCCAAATCAACTAGCACACGACGAACAAAGAGCTCGCACGCGAAGAACAGAAAAGGAGCGGCCAAGAAAATCGATGAAATCTGACTCAAATCTTCATGGATCGCTCCCAAACTTTGCACAGCGATTCGCAATGAAGATAAAAAGCTACTCCTAGGAGATCATTGCTCAATTTAAACTGTAACTCTGTAAATCGAAGAAATTCGAGCAAGAACGAGTTTTTCCCCCAAAATGAAGATCGGCTTGGATCTTGATGCACGAGTGGAATTGATTCAAACCACTTGGTAGGATTGTTCAACACTCGTCAAAGCATCAATCTGACTAAACAAATCTCACAGCAAAACTCAAATCGAGCACGAATAAGAAGGGGAAAGAAACGGGAACGAAGAACACAGTGAAGAACAACCGGTTCTGGATCTGCGCCGGCGCACAGCAAGCACTGCATCGTCGACCACGACATCGGCTGGTGAGTGCTGTGCTGGTTGATTGATCTCTTTCTCTTCGATTCGCACGCAAGCTAGATAGCTAGCTGTTGGATCTTGCAGTCGGATGGACTGCGAAGCACCTGCTATTGTTTTTCAGTTGGATGGCATGCAGGAGTTATGTCTTTCTTGAACTGCAGGCTGAGGCAGAGGTGGAGGGGCCACCGGCGTGCCACCCGCGAGGGCGGCGGACTCGTCGGAGATTGGGATGGGGGCGATGAAGTCGGGGCTCGCGTATGCGTGGGCTGTTGGAAAAGAGGAGTTTTGGGTCACGCACCCATTTCCTGTAGGCTACTCAATCCACCGAATGCGTCCCGTGTATGGGTTCCTATCGTTGGAGACAGTCTTATCTATCGGCAACTGTGATACTCCTAGCTGTTATTGGCCACTCCCAGTATTATCTGTGCGGCGGTGCCAAATCCGATCCTTCCTCAGTGATTTTAACAGCTAGGAGAATCAAATTGAGGCACCAAGTAATCATTCCAGCATCCATCCAACCAATCTGCCAAATTAAACGAGTCAACCAGAATAATGCCAAACGCACGAACGAATGGTTATCTGGGCAGAGGACGGAACATGACTACTTATCATAAATAAGACCATTGATTGATCCTGCCTGGCCCATAGGAGACTGCAGTAGCAGTATGCAATGGGGATGGAGCAGAGTACTCCACTTGTTTACCTGGAAGCGGCACATGTAGTAGTCTTCGCCGCAGACAGCCCTGATGGCCTGGAGCGGGCTCATCTCCGGCCGCCGCGGGTGGTACACGACGCTGAGGTTCACGAGCGCCCGCACCAGGTCCGGCCGGAGCAGACACAGCTGCCACGCCACGATGGCGCCCCAATCGTGCCCCACCACGAACACCTGCAGCGAGAAGATAACCCGATCAAAAAGAAAGAGAGAAAAAAAAGTCAACGTCGCGTTTCTGCTTCGCAGCTTGGTGCAGTGCGTGCAACGAATCGAACGGATTGCTGCAGTAAAACCTGGGGCTGGCCGAGGTCGGAGATGAGCGCGACGAGGTCCCCGACGACATGGAAGGTGGTGTAGCTGGACGCGTCGGGCGGGGAGTCGGAGTCGCCGTAGCCGCGGAGGTCCCGGGCCACGGCGCGGTAGCCGCGCGCCGCCAGGGCGGCCATCTGGTGGCGCCAGCCGTACCAGAGGTCCGGGAAGCCGTGAAGGAGCAGCACCACGGGGGCGCCGCCCTCCTCGGGCCCAGCCTCCGCCACGTGCAGGCGCACTCCGTTCGCCTCCACCGCCCGGTGCCGCACCCCCTCCACCGTGGCCGCCATCTCTTGTCTGCTCCGCGTGCTCACCAAGGCGGGACTGGCTCAGGCAGCTGCTTGTCTGCTACCCGTCGCGCACGCGCAAGCCGCCTGCTTTTGTAGAGGGGCCCGCCGGCTGCTGGCTTTGGAAGCGCAGCCGGGGGATTTGGGGCGTGCGAGGCGGCCGAGCGGATGGTGTCACACGCGACGCTGCGATGAAGTAAGGGAAACGCCCTGGCGGGAGTGCGCCTTCGAAGGAGAGAGACACCATTTCATTTACATGTATTCCTGTGTGTCTATGATGAGTGGGGCCAATGGCCAGCCATCGTGTGTAATAAGGAGTGGGCTGTAAACTGAAACCCCCATTGCAATTCACAGAAACAAAAACGGCAAGAGGGACCTGACCTCTGCTCGTCCTCCCATCTCTGTGCCTACTTGGTGACCTCACGTGGACGACGAACGCCGGCGGCCAAGGGGTGTGATAGATGGGCGGCGCATGCGAAACGGAGAGTAGAGTTTATGCCGATTCGTGGAGAGTTTTCTGGCGGATAGCGCTAGGTCGTAGGCGGCAAGACGGCGAGGGCTTGGCAGCTTTCGGGGTTTCCCTAAGGAGGCTAGGACTGGACGAGTGTCGCTGCTCTCGATTTCCTCGTTATCGTGGAGACGCGGACTACACCTGATGTAGCATAATAGTAGGTGACCATCCGCCTATAAATTTGGATATATGAACATCTAAATTAGTCGATATTTGTATCCACTAAAATATTAATATAAACATATGTGTTTGTGTTACATTCTAATATTCATTTTTGTTATTTTTCTTTCAATTCCATATATGTATTCGAAAAGATATTTAATATCTGATATTATTTGTTCTAAAAAGAACAAAGTACCTGCTAAAACCATTTAAACTTATATATCTGACTAATTACTAATATTAGTTATATTAATTTTAATATTACAAATGATATTTATTATATGAACTATTTAAAAGCTATCTACATGGATAATGACATTATGTTATTTTTAACATTACTAATGATAAATAAAGGTTAGTTTAATCAATTTTAATATGGAATTATGGATTATCATATTATTTAAAATGCTTTACTTTATTTACTATTAATAATAGTATTTTATATAATTTATTGATTAGTTGATATATTTAATTGATGAAATATTTATTGACAAATATGTTATTTTTATGAGTTGTCTTTATCTATAGGGACCCATCCTGTAGGTGGGGGCGGCCGCCCCAGTTACCCTTTGAATCCATGGCCGGTGATGATTTTTGTTACTTGCTTGAAGAACTGGCGGCGGCGACAGCCGCCGTGTTCGGCTAGGGCTGGCTGGCTGGCCAGCCCCCTCACATGAACACTGTTTATATGAATCAGCCAATATTACTTCTCTCTCACATAAACGAACCAGTAACGATACGAACCAGCTAATCGAACAGACTGAGCATCTGTTCCAGCCAATTGGAGAAGAAAGCCTCCTCCTGGGCCAGCCGATTGGAGAAGAAAGCACCGGCCACCCTCCTGGGCTTGCTGTTGACGTAGGCGGTAATGGGATGTTTATGGGCCAAGCAAATTAAGATAAGTAGACAGTGAATAGTCCAATTAGCTGGTAGCCCAGTTAGCTCTGGCCCAGAATAGAAGGGGCAGATAGCATAGTCACCTCGCAGGCACGGATATGAGGCGCATCTAAGTCTGGACGAAAAATTCGGACCTCGTCAGCTCGCTCGGCTCGTGGCTGGCTCGGCTCGTTAACCGAGATTTTAGAACATCTCTAAAAGTATTCTAAATCTCTTCCTAATCCTTGGTTTTTAGTAAGATGAGAAAAAATCCCTCTCCAACAATTTCTAATATATCTTTCTAAAATTTACGCACTTGGAAAATTCTCTCCCATCGCGCATAACTTTACGTGGACTCGGCGTCGCGCGGAAAGAGGTTTCCTGCACGGCTTCTCTTCACGTGCCTTCAATGACCGCGTCGCCTCCATGTGGCGCCGCATGCAGGAGACGGAGCGCAGACCCAAGCAGATGCTCGCCTTCCTCCTCAAGGTCGTCGGCGACGCCGCCGCACCGGACAACGGGTTCACCTCCGGCGGCGATGCTGCCGAGCCGCCCTCCGCCGCGGAGGGCAGCGAGAAGCGGGCCAGGCTGCTGCTCGACGGTGACAACATGGTGGCGCTCGGCCCCGAGGCTGTCGACTTCGCCGGGTTCTACAGCAGCAGCGGCGTGTTCGGCGACGTTGCCGTGGATGCTGCCGTGGGATCTGCCGGTGGCGGGTGCTCGTTTGCGTTCGGCGGCGGGTACTGAGTGACGACCATGCGCCGCCCAGTGTCAGTCAGCAGCTTGGCCCTCTTGTGCTGTTGTTTCTGCCGACTTCTTGCTTGCCAATGCCATTGCGGCGTGCGTGGCCGCCGCTTGGAACGCCCAAGAGGCAAGACCGGCGGCAGCCGTCATATGGAAGCGTGGCAGGGGCCTACAGTCAGCCCATGATGGATGATAATGATGTTATGTTCTGTCCATGCTCCATGGATGTCTATTTGATGCTTTTGGTGGATCTGATCTGATTTTATGGGCGGGAGTGACTACCGCGTCGGGATCATCCGAGCATCTGCTTGGGCCTGCGCTCCGTCTCCTGCACGCGGCGCCACATGGAGGCGACACGGTCGTCGATGGCGCGCTGCTTCATCACGCCGCCACCATGGACTGCCTTGGCCGTAGCTAGGTTTCCCTTGGCCGTCGCTAGGTTTGCCGTGGCCGGCTGTGTGCTTCTTGCCGCCGCCGGGATTGCCCTGGACTGCTGGCGTCCGTGGCCGGCTGTGTACGTGCTGCTTACTACTGCTTGCATGGTACTGTTCGCATGGTATTGTTTCCTGGTTGCGATGGTTATGATGTTCTAAACATTACTTTCAGATTGTTGGCCGGCCTGACTGGTGGCTGGCGGCCTGTGGCTGAAGGTCGGGATGTGGTGCCGCCCTGCTGGGAGGTGCTGCCGGCGACCTGTGGCTTGGAGATGGTGCCGACCTGCTGGGAGGTGGCCATGGCCGGCTGGAACTGCAGGGCTAGGTCACGACGAAAGAAGGAGGAGCGGCGGCGGCGTCGAAGACTTTCGCGGGGAAAAAAGTGCCCGCAGAAAAAACCCAAATAGGACCAAATTTTAATTTTTTAGAGTGGAATATTGGGTACTATTGGAGATGGACTTTTTTTTCTCTCCCAATACCCTTTTAGGAGTTGGAAAACATAAAGTTTTTGGGAGGAAAATTTAGGATACTCTTGGAGATGCTCTTAGCTCGTTAGCTATAACGAAACAACTCGAGCCAGCTCGTAAGCCGCTCACGAGCAAAACGAGCTACGTTTCCAGAGAAAAAAGTAACAGAACTTATAATAGTTTTTGTATTACTTCTTGTCTTTCACTTTACAAATGGTTGATGACTGGTCTAGACCCTAAAAACTTAGGATTATTATGACTTTGTTGTTTTATTTTTAAGTGGATGTATGGATACTTATGGACGCATTTTGTATGGTATAGAGTATGGACCATGGACCATGGATGTATGGTGTAATACTATAGTATATTATTATATTTTATATATGTTAGCACATATCAATTTTTTGTTCGATTTAAGACTTGTGGATGTGTTATTTTTGTATTATTACTACTCTCAAGTTTTAAATGAAAGCAAATATTATATTTCGTGTATTTTTTATATTTGGCTCGCGGGCTTAACGAGCTAGCTCAAACTAGTAAACGGACCGAGCCGAGCTGACCTTTTGGCTCACTAAGATAATAAGCTCGGGCTCGGCTCATTACTTAACGAGCCAGAACGAGTCGACTGAGGTGGCTGGTTATCCGGCCCTAGCGCACCCCGTCCTCTGTTCTTGTCGTGCTCGGATAGCGTTTCTCTCCACGGAATATTGAGCGAGCGCTTGGGCGCATGGCTAGGAGACGTGGCCGACTGGTGACGCCTCTAATCGGAGTTCCGGTGACTTGATTTCTCAAACCCGAGCCTCTTGATCTACCGTCGATGGAGCATGGGTATATTCATTGGTACATGTATATCTTCTAACATTCATCATGTTCTTTTGATGGATTTTTAATGGTTTTGTGAAAAACAAAAGTTATTTTTAATATTAGACGTACTACTCCGTATTACCTAAAAACTGTTGTTTGCTCACTATTTTACTATAATTTGTGCGATTCCATGTGTGTGTTGTTTTTTCACATCTTAAGTTTAATCCCTATTTGTATAATGATTCAGTTCTTGTAAAACAATCAATGAATCAAATAGATATTTGTTACCTTCAAAATCAAGTAGATATCTGAATGTGAGTCCAGATTCAAACTTTCTGTATTTATCCTTATCCGATAACATTCATAATTGTTTTTGAATTCAAATTAAAATATTGTAAATAGTGATATTCAATTCGATTGATTCCATTCAAATCTGATCTGAATCCATCCCCACTGCCCATGCCACGGCCAAGGCAACTATGCGGCAGTGAGTGACGCCAGGCCATGCTCCGACAAAGCTATGCATGATTCAATTCAATAACTCAATTGTATAATTTCTAGACACATACTCCTTCTATCC